TGCTGTGTTTCTCTTTCGCTTTGTTCAATCTTGCTTCTATTTTCCATTATTTCCACTTTCATGATTTTTAGGTTGTTCTTAATTTCTCTTATGTCTTCTTTTATCTCGTTTTTAAACTCCATCATGTCTTCCTTTGTTTTTCCTTAGCTCTGAGAGCATTTTCTTCATCAGCTATTCCATTTCTGCTTCCTCTATGGCGTCTATCAATTTTTTTTGTTGCCTCGATTCTTTGTTAGTGATTTTGCGTTATTTTTAATATTTTGATATTCTCTTTGTTCTTCCGGTGAACCATTACTTTCGTCTTTTTTTTCTCTTGCTCATTCATTTTTTTTCGCATCGCGGTTGTATTTCCTTGTTTCGTTGGCAGTGATCCCTGTGGCCTCTGACAACAGACGTGCCGTCGCGGTGCACGGGGTCGAGTTGCCTTATCAGTCAGTTGAGCGATAAGAAATTTGATGTCTTTTATTTAGCGCGTTTTGCTTCTGGAATCTTTCAGTGTGCGTTAATTTGCCCCGTATAGCTTGTTTCGTATTATGTGGGTACAGTTATTAATATTAACTTGGCTTTTTATGCCTTCGGATCACTTTTATTCACAGTGCGATTCTCAACACGGCTGCTCGCTTCGACGTCTCACTCACTTCTCACAAATAGGTATATTAACTTTGTTATTTAAAGTAACGCGTGTTCAATTAAAAAAACCATCAAGTTGGCTTTGATTTTTGTGAACATTATGAGATATGTATGACAATTAACCTCAACCCGTTTTCTTCTCTCAAAATAGCAACGCCAACTTGATGACTGTTTAATTGAACACCCAATATGTCGGCGAAAGGTAACATGATGTACTTCTAGAGTTTCAGTACGGTTAAATACGCAATTTCTAAATAATTATTAACATATGCGTTTAATTTAAATAATTAAATCCTGTGCAAGAACTATTTTAACCTGTTACTGATTTTGTTAAATTGCATAATTCTGTGCTTTCATTTTAACGCGAGCTGAAATTACTCTTGTTTCAAAGTGTTTTTTTTTTTGTAACAACCACTACTTTTGCAAAGTAGTTCAACCTTTCTTAAAATATTTCATTTTTTGTTACAAATTTGTACAAAACTCAATCACTAACAACAAAGTTTCATTTTTCAGGTAACTTTATAACTCAGCCAATATTGAAGGAATTTTAGATGTAGAAGTTATGCACAGACGTATAACAAAAAAACCCACCAAATACGCACCTGTCGCGTTTTTTGTTGATTAGACGTTACTGTAAATTATACAGTTTTCGTGCTAGGTATATTAAAAATAACGTTACGGTAAACATATAGTTATCTTACTTTACAACATTTGAATAAAAAGGGACCGAAAACAATTAGCATTGTGGTCTTTTTAACATACTGCACGGAAAAATTGTCCAGTGTTACTAGTAAAACCCCAAAATGTATCTGCTTAAATGAAGCTACATGAATATTTTGACGTCGGTTTCGTTTTTAAAAACTAAATATGAATCAATAAAATTCGTCTGAAATATAATAATACAAACAAATGCAATTATCCTTGTTTGTTTATTCTAGCTTTCTTTATTGTATTATTTCGAAAAAAACTAGTTTGTCTCCTTTCTTGTTTTTGTCAAATAAAAATGTTTTTATAATGTACACATTCAATTTATTAATATAAATAATATAAAGTGTCAACATTATACCAGTTTCTTTCTTTGTGGTAATAATTAACCTCAGAAATATCAACCACGTATCACTTTTATTGCGACACCATAAAACATTATTACTGCAACAAAAGAAATAATATGGCGATAAACTTTCCCACAATATTTTCTTTACGTCGTGCGTATAAAATTATCATGCTTTTCATTGTGCGATTCCTCAGCTTTTCTGTTAATCACATACACAAACCAATCAAAAATTTAGTGTTGGTATTTTTGCGGTCAAATTTAATTTGTGTTGCTGTGTGATTCTAGTTTCAATTTGTATTTGAATGATAAATGACGTTTATGTTTGATTGAAAAAGCTATTCACGAATTCATGGCTTTATGACGTTTTCTGTGCAGCCATCCAAGAGCCATCCAGGACTGATCGAAGCGATGTTTTCACTGCGAGCGGTTGAATGTCATATTGGTCCATGCAATCTTACGGGATGTGTGGGAGTTTAACAAACTGGAGCTCGAATATGTGGGGCGGGATAACAAATGTCTTGCGTATTGTGCAGCATACTTCAAAATAATAGCGACGTGATTTGCCAAAGTTGTTTAACAAGTTTAGTCAACACTGTTCTAGTGGTAGTATTATCTTAGCCATATTTTTCGTCTAAATGGGGTTAGCCTCGTTCTAATATTTTCGTCTCATTAGTTTTCAGATTTATAATTTTCTTGACGACAAGTTTATTTCAAGTCAATTTCAGTTTCAGAGTAATTTATGTGTCTTAACAATATATAATAATGATAAAATAATTTATAATTTTCAGAACAAAATAATTTCTACGTGACATTCTTTCGATGTATAAACATAAATAAACACGTGAGCTTCAGATTGCTATTACCTACTGCTGAAGGACAAGGCGTGGTATTTATCCCTCTGGTTATTCTGTTATTAATTTAGCAAATTTACTCCTATTTTTATTACGGCAAATTTTTGTACATTCACAGTTTGAGCAAAAATTCGGGATCATAAAACGTCTTAAAAAGGTTTTCCTCACAGCTTTTTTTTTTGTTTATTCGAAATGAATTGCTTTTCCCGTCCTTATTTATTGTCAGCACGAAATTCATGTCAGGATATTTTTTCTTTAGAAACGTGCGCACATTTTATTTCATAACATTATTTTTGCATTTGGAAACGCGTAACCAAACTGAGACGACCGCCTTAAAATCACCAAAATGTTCATGTGAGACTCCTTTACCAATAATAATTGCTTTCTGTTGTTCATTCCCATTTTCCTTAACCGTGTTTTCATAAGATTTATGACTTCTCTGATTCGTTAAGGTCGAGTATGGTTGTTAGCGTCTATTTTAATGAAAACGTTTTCTCCTTGTATTATTGTTCTTAGCTTGAAATTTCTCGTGTCACTGCTTCCATCGTACCTTGCAATTCTTCAACTTTTGTTATCAGCTTGCGATTTGCGTCAGTAATATGACGAGTAGAGAGCGGAAAATATGCAGCAAAATTTTCAGAAAAATGATCATATGATATGCACCAAATTTATGTAAATATGCAGTAACTTTCTTAATATATGCAGAGATATGCAGTTGCATATGCTCCAAAAATAAAAAAAAGGCTTAGTAAGCGAACTAAATTTATTTATAAAATTTAAAAACACATTTCCCGAGCTTACATTTTATTACAAAAATACATAAATCACATTGCAAAGTGTTTAATTACATTTCACTAACACATAAATCACGTTTTTAAAGATAAAAAAAATATATATAAACAGATTAAATTAACAAATAGTAGTAATCCACTATTTAATTACTATTTTGGTAACAATTTATTTTTAGATATTTTTCGAAATATTCTAATAAAAAGTTTTCCCGGTGATTCTAAAGTAAATGTATTTGTAAATAGAAAAACTGCATACTACGTCCACAGATGTAAAAATACTTACCGGTTTAGGACAGGCGCGACAAAACACAGTTCGTTCTTGGAGAATAAGTTCAGGAAAAGGTTTTATCCATAAATTAATTTGAATTATCTTCGACATATTGATACACCTGTATTCCTTTACATGCTTTCAATACAAACTCAAGATGAAATATAATAGTATAACGTCCCTTCGACCACCACTAAACGTATGTACCACTTAACTAACGAACAAAAATATTGGGAATGAACGCTATTTCCAAAAGTAATTAGGGCGCGAATTTACCTGGAAGGATGGCTTAACACCCAGTGGTGTCTCCAAACTACCATAAAACCCAAACCTTTTCTTGTTATTTGAAGCTCAGGACAATATTTGCAATATGATTCATAAAATTTCGTCTTTCTAGATAAATGCCGGTAGAATAACAATAATTTTTTTTTAAATTAGCACAAAAATTGGTAAAAATGCAAAATATGCACCCGTTCCGTGAAATATGCAGCAGAAGGCAAATATATGCAAATATGCAATTTTTTTATAGCTGTATGCATTTTTAATTAGCATGATTCGTTCACATTTTAAATAACAAGACTTATATGCAAAAAATAACGGATATGCAAATTTCATAAAATCCGCTCTCTAATGACGAGTATTAATAAATATAAGATTTCAAGTCCTGACCGCATAAATCACTATTTGGCTATTATTATGACCATTTTACTATTGATTTACTAATGCACTTGATTTTATTCACGCAATTATGTATGCATATAGAGAGCGAAAGCGTCTTTATATCGTAGTTCATGTGAATCATTTGATTATTTCCTATGAACCCGTCATTATACGCTATTATATCGGAAGGAATGGATAAATATAGTTTTGTTAACGTTTGCGGTTTCTAAAAGTAAAAAAGTACGTAATATGTGGAAAAAATAATTTGAAATTTTTCAAAGACTTCAGATCGATGTAGGAGCAAGCAGATAAAATTTAAGAGAATTGTGCACCCATCTGTTCTCACGTTTGTAATCTTGGAGATCGTAAAACAAACTAGGGAAATTAAATTTCAACAAAGTTGCATTATTTTGCGCTAATCAATATTCCGCCAAGAAAACAGAAACATATGACACCGTCAATAAAACAGCGTGTTCTATTAGATAAATATCAAACTTAACGTTAGTAGTTGTAACACAAAACTTCATAAACGCGTTGTTAATACATAGAGGAATAACCCCTTTCTCCTAAAGTTTAATATTTCTCACGCCATATTTTTTTCAGACTTTTACGTTTTAATATTCATATTTCCTCTTTAATAACGGCCGCATTTTTTCGAGTTTATTATCGTAATCCGAAAAATTTACCTCTTTTGGTATTTACGTTCGAACAGTAAAATGTATAATTAAACATTAATTTTGTTTCAGTGCCTCCTGAAAAAATACACATTTACGATGACAAGAGGGTAGACAAGACAATTTTATTAGGACCGTATAATGAAGGTTCGGACGTTAATTTATTATGCGAGGTAAAGGGAGGTAAGTGGCAGTTTATAAATTCTAAAGCGTCGTATCGACACATAAAAAAAGGGCGAAAGAATGATCAAACGTTGTGCTTCGCAAAAATAGAGAGCTGTAAATTATTCAAAATTATTCTGAATTTAAAACGACTCTTATCCGCTATTTGAATATTTGATTTGATGTAAAATATTGTGTCCGATACAAAACGACACGATTTAATTATTTCAATGAAACGAACATAAAATTTCATCATCGAAACGCAATTTAGTATTGGTTAAAGTTGGTAAATAGCGATGGACGTTAATTAAAGCAGACACACACAGACAAACGCAATTTGTCTCCAATAGGGTCTAATGTTTGCTTCATAATGCAGTGATGGAGAATACACAATGAACTTTTCAGTTGGGACCAACTATTTTAAGCATTGTTTGCACAGAGGTACAGCTCGGAGGAATTCCACTGCATTCTAGACTCAAAACAGAGCAGTTGTTGTAAAATTCAAATATCTGTTTCTCGTTCCTAATTATTGTGGACATTATTTTTATAATAGTCGCTCTTTTATGACTTTTTTGGCATTTCATTTCATTTTCAGTACACTTTGTATCTCTTATTTGCCGTTCTCTTAACTGTTTTGGATACACTACGAAATTTTAAATTGCTATAGATTTTCTAGCCCTGTAGAAATTCAAGTCGAATTATGTACTTTTATGTTTTAATGGTTCAGTCTTATGTCTTGAGTACTTGCCGATACTTATAAAAGAGCACCCCCATCCTGCTACTATGATAACCAAAATTAAAATAACATTTTAAAACATAGAACAAATAAGTCCACTTCACAAGTATCCAGATTTTATTTAGATTGCCAACATGTTTCGACACAAGCTATCATCATCAGAGTTATGTGTTTATGACAGGAAAATAGGTAACAACAACAAAAATATCTGAACACTTACCATAATGTTGATTCTATGTTTCGGGATTCCTATGGTAGTGTTCAAATATTTTTCTTGTTTGTTACGATGACACTAGTTTGTATCGAAACTATGTAACGAAGCGAATTGTCACCGGAGAGGGAGCTGGCGCCCGAGCACCGCCGCTCCCGACCGAAGGCGCTACCTCCGGTGGCGTGTAGGAGACCAGACGTGTTTCTTTTCAGTGGCGTTAGTCGGCCTAGAGCTTGATACTGAAGCACGCCACTCCCACGCGATATCGGCGAAACTCCGGACAGTCTTCGTACGCGGCCTATTCACCGTTGGCAATCTAAATAAAAACTGAATACGTGCGGCAATGAGTTAATTCTTCTACGTTTTTAATTTATGAAACCATGGCCACTTTGAGAAAGATGGAATTACTGAATTTAAAATAACAATGTAATATGTACAGTTGGGAGCATGGAATCGTTTATGCTTCCATTTATTTTGGTTAGCCAAATAAAAATTTGTTCATAGTGTAAAACGGATATTTTAGGGTAAATTGACACAACCTTGGCGTTTAAGTTTAGGATAATACGAATAAGTGACAAATGTTTTGACATGTTTATTCATGTACGCCTGTCTATGAGTTTTTATAAAAATAACCTAGTAAAATTAACGCATAAACTAATCCGTGCTCCCAACTGTATAAAGGTGCTTTGTCGTATTTTGATCTATTCACTTATCCACAAATTATCGTTTTTCAAGTATCCTATTTGTTTTATGTAGTCTGTTGAAATAGTATATCAAATAAAACATATTTTATGTTATTGTTATCATAAGTTTGTAAAACGAGCAGCTTGTGGCCAGTTTTTACAAAAAGCGAATATGAGTATGAGATTTTTATCTTAGTACCTTCTAAGATAAGACTGATTTTGGCAAATGAGATACCCTCGAAGAAAAGTGAGGGCGGGTGGGCGGGGCTAGTACCTGCTAAGATAAGACTGATTTTGGCAAATGAGATGCTTCTAAGAAAATAGAGGGCGGGTAGGTGGGGTTAGTACCTGCTAAAATAAGACCGATTTTGGCAAATGACATACTGTCTAAGAAAAGAAAGGGTGGGTGGGCGGGGCTAGTACCTGTTAAGATAAGACCGACATAAAATATTGCTGGTGCCAATGTAGTTTTCCCCAGCATACGGATTAGTTTTCTCATTTTCCCTTTTTGTGTAGTTAAAATTTTAAATTTTGTACAAGTTAGAGACCAACGCAAATATGACGTAATTTAAATGGTAACAAAAAATACGCTGGTCGTTTTTCGTCAATTTACCAGGGCTTGGCTCCTTCAGGACCGGAGAATCGTGACAACCGATACCTCTGTATGGAGACGTGAGAGGACAGAGAACTCCTCTTGCTCTATGTCAACTCGCACTTTCGCATGGGCTGTTTTCACAAACACGAGTTCTGGCGGAGGCCGATCAAAGCCTTCCAAGAATTGCAGGACCAAGAATTTGAGCTTTGTTTTTAACGGGTTTGGGCCGGTGGTGGAGCAGCACGGACCTCCCATGAGGGACCCATTCGGTGTCACCAGGTTACGATCTTTCGAGCTGAATGGGTTTTTTCCAGGAAGATTCTGGGTTAGCCTTAGTTAGTTAGTTGGATGTACGGGAAGCGTAGGAACTGTCGACCACCTTGGAAAAGATAGAGTATATGTTTCTTCTGGGAGTGAGGTTTTTTATAATCGGTCAACTAATCCCTAACTAAACACGTCACGGACTCCGAGGCTTACTAAGTCTCGAAGGAACTGACCAGGTTCACTAGCACCTCGCGAACATGGACTAGCTCGTCACAGAACTGGCGCATGTAAATGTAAAAACGTTCCGACCCGAAAAAGAGCACTTGTGTTCTGGTAAGGCTCTACCTGCGTGTTTGGGGAGCTATTCGAGTAGTAAGCTGATTCTAGTGAGTTAACTCAGCAGTTGTGGAGTTATTCGTTCTTTTTGAGTTACTTCAAAACGCTTGTAGATCATTATTCATCTCTCTCTAACAAGCTACCTAACTTCACCTCTAAAAGTGCGGAGGGGACAGGGAGTAGTGGGAAGCCACACGGGCATTCGGGCCTAAGCATCCCGCAGACAGCAAGGCAAAGGTTCACCAGTACCTCCTGTTCGAGACAAGATATGGGAGTGGTGCCGTCCTCCGACGTTGACCCACTTGAGTGTTGGACTCGAAGAAGTAGAGAAAAGCTTCTTGAAGCCCACGAAACGGGAAAACCATGTTACCGGGACTGGCTCCTTCGGGATTTAGAAACTTGGACTAGTAAACGTTACCTTCATATGGGGGACGTGAGGGGTACGACATTCTCTAAGAAATAAAAACGCGAATACCACAATCTCTTGCTCCCACGTTCGAGTGGTACAGGCTGATTTCACAGACAGGAGCTGAGAATTTGGGAGCAGGTACTTCCACCATATTGGTATCCGTTTGGTGAGAAGCTCTGGGGTGGCTGGGAGTACGATGAAGCCAAATGGTTGCGCGAGTGCGGCAATATTTATAGCCTAGCCCGACTTGAGAAACGTTGATAACCTGGAGAAAGCGGTAAGCTGGTTATCAAGTCAGCCGGTACTTGGACACCATGGAGTCTTTTTTGAATGCGCTTAGGCAGATGTGGAGTGGTACGAACTCCCACGACTGGTCTGTTAGAGCGATGGTGTTCACTAAGGTTCGATCGTTCAAACTGGATGAGCTTAGGCTATGAAGATTGTGAGTAAGTCTTACCCGTATAGGAACCGAGGGGACCAGCTGTACCAGCTGGTACTTGTAAATGTGAAAGCGTCCGACCCGCGGCGGAGTACTTACAGGCCCTACCTGCGCGGTTATTGGTAGTATGATGACTAGAAAGCGGTAATTCAGCAGTTTTGATGTTGACATCCCCCACCCAGTTACTCGCCGTTTTCACCTACTTGAAATAGCTTGCTAACAAGCCGGGCAATCTGACTTCCTATGCTACGGACTGGGTAGCGAACATTGGGAAGTCATGGTGGCCGACTGGGCGACTCACAGATAGCAAGGCAAAGGGGCTCTAGTACCTATTTATTTGTTCGAATTGTCCCTTGGTAAACAAAACCAGGGATCTCGGTGTCCAAGCTCCATCGGAACGTTCGGGCGGCCAAAGCGGGGGCCTTGACTTCCAAGATTTTATATTTCAAACCTGATTCGTCTTAAAAAATATATTGCTGGAAGGTACTTTGTTTGAATGATTAAAATAATGTTTTATAAACATCATCTAATAACTTTAGATGATCAATTAATCAGGTCAAGTAGTCATATTCAAAATATATGAACTTGTGGTTTTCACATGTTTCAGAAGTTTAGTTCGGTTTTTAGCTGTAAGTAATTGACAAGATAATTAATACATATTTTATTATTCATTATTTCCTTAATAACGTCATAGGTGTCAACAAAAAAAAAATACCAACAACGATAATACCATAGCCTCTGTTTGAATAATTCATGACGACAATTTTTGTACATAATCTAGTAATAATGTTTTTTTTTGCGTGTACAGCACTAACGATCAATTTAGAACTTTTGTTATGTTTGTCATGAGAATTAAAACGTGATGCCATCAGTCAACAGAAGTATGATTAAAGATGCTAAGTTTAGTTTCATACATGAAGTATATAAAAAATTAAAAAAGAAAATTAACAACAAAACAATGTTTTTTCGTTTTTCCGTTAGTTAACCGAAAACAGCAGGGTAGGCAAGTTTTATGAAACAAAAACTTCTTATATTTTAGTTTTCCCATGATTACGTTTTTTGAAAATCTGTAGTTAGTACATTTGTCGTCTAGATCATTAAAAATTATTACGGAATGTTATTCTAAAACTATCTAAAAATTCTCAGTGTCTCTATTTTTAAAGACGGAGGGTGTCATTCATAGTCGTTCCTTCAAACAAACTCGTACTCAACTCGAACTTGACACATTAATTTGACATTCATAAAGATTGCTCAAATTTTTGCTCTGTCATTAATTAACTTTTAGCTTTTAATGGCTTTTTGCTTTAAAATTTCTTTCGCTATTTGCACTCGGACTTCTGTTTCCTTTGCTCACTGAGTTTAAGTTAAGGAACAACTATGAATGCAATAAGAATTTTGACTCAAAGTTAACCTCACCACTCAAGTGAGTTGAGTTTGAGTAGAGGATGAGAACGACTACAAATCTCACCCGGCGTCTTGCACTTTTGTATAAAGCTTTTTAGTTACCTTGCATTTGTATATTGTGTATTCATACAGGCTGATTCAACTTGCAAATTGTCAGTTTCGTCTTATTTTAATTTAAAACAATCTTGAAGATCTAGGTATTTGTGTTTGGAACGAATTTGAAAGTGCTTTCGAGCCTCTAGTGTCTTTTCTTATAATAATTTAATTAAATTTCTTAAAGGATACGTCATTTCAAAAAATCAGTCTTATCTTAGCAGGTGCTAGCCCCGCCCACCCACCCTCTCTTTCCTACAGGGTATGTCATTTTCCAAAATCACTCTTATTTTAGCAGATACTAGCCTCTCCCACCCGTCCTCTGTTTTCTTAGAGGGTATGTCATTGCCAAAATCAGTTTTATCTTTGCAAAAAAATGATCAAAATTTGGAACATTACGAGCTTACTTATATGCACAAGGCAGGAATTTTGAACATCTTCTCTAATGCTTAGTTAGTTATGCTTTAATGGATTTTTCTTTTGTTGGTTTTGTTTTTGTTGAGAATTTATACATGTTTTACTAAATGTTTTCTTTTGGTTATGTAAATATTAATGAAAAAACACAGCTTTTTTAATTAATAATAATGCACAACGATTAATGACTATTGGTTGTTGAACTAAAAAAAAATAAAAGGTGTAGTCACCATCGTTACTAAGAACTCAGAAATTTTACTTTTATAAAATTACGTTTTGTTTTTTCGTAATCTACATCATAAAGAATTTTTTTATTATTTGTTTGGGACTCCCGAAACCCCCGTATATAACGTACTGAAGAATTAATCCGCGATTTTCCAGACACCCGGTATACCTTGGGAAAGGTATGCAATTGTATCAATCTAAGGAAAATAGAAAACAGTACCACTAGGTACTACTGACGCTGAATTTTTCAAGCATATCCAATATTCAAAATTAAAACAATCACGTATCATACATAGGTATATATGTATATCGTTTCATTAAATACAATTGAAAACAGCCACCAAATAGTATTCCTAATTTTTATAAATAGTACTCCTATTAAATTTCGAAATTATAAGATATCCAACAAAATAAACTAGTTGCAACGTAATGCAAGAAAGAATCTATACTTTAGCACATGTTTTTTCTTTGTAGTATCAGTAGATCTCTGTCAATATCAACCATAATTATACAGGGTTATTCACGAGAACCTCCACGCATAAAAAATTCAAAACGCAACCAGAAGTACAATTTTGAAACGATCTTTGATATTTCATACCATCAAGAAAAAAGTAATACAGAAGTATCTGTTTTATAACACGCCATGTTAAAACTGACATTTCGTCAGAATTAATGTAGGATACATAAAAGACAAAAGACTTGCATGACTTTGAGATATGGAGAGTACTTTACAGTTCTGTAGGAACATTATCCCCACTGAAAATGCTTTGACAAGCTCTTGTTTTGAATTTATTTATTTTAGATTTAAATCTAACAATTGATGAGATTTATTTCCAAATTGTCGAACCCAGCAAGTGACTGTGTTTTACTCTAAAAAGTAGTGACAGTAAATACCAAAGATTGCTATGTAATTGTATTACTGGTTGCGTTTTAATTTTTATAGGTGAGGAGTTTCTCGTGATTAACTATATTTTAAATTGGCTCTTTTTTATTTTGTTTTGAAGTGTTTTTATTAATTCTTCATGTTTATTGAGTTAAGTATATTTCGCATTATTACATATTGCGTTCCATGTTTATAAATGTAAGATTTTTCGAAACATTGCTTCTCCATACCCGCTGAATATTATATTTATCAAAAAAACAAGCTTCTTACGTATGTAAATTAAAACGCCTATTTATTTTTAAGCTTATAGACATATTTGTTTGCAAGCAGAAAGCCTATAGACTCACGACATTAAAATATTCCAAGACAGCAAACTTGGCACTACGATCAATAAGTTACTGTATTTGGATTACCACCCAAGATTCTGAACAGATATGTCGAGTTTATCTGCTTTTAACAAAAACATGGAACATTATAGCCTTAAAAGTGGTTCAACATTAAGGATAAAATATTTTACAGGTTTAGTCAGGATGCAACAACATATCTCTACTCTTTACTTCGAGTGTTGCATTTCACTAAAACCAAATTGCACATAATACGTAGGGAAATAGAGAATTACTGTGAAATAAGCTGTACCACTTTTGTACTCATAAGACTCGCACAGAAAAATTTCTGCCCCCTTTCAAATGGTTATTAAATTATGCTGTGCTTGGGTGACATGTTTCTGGTTCGATTTCTCAGGAAACATATATAAGTATATAACCTAAGTGTAAATTTAAAAAAGGTACATCAGATTTATCGCTGAAAAATACAGATTATTTTCAATTTAATATTAAACTTGACTTTCAGTGAATCTTGATATCTCTATTCATGAGGTAGATGTACAACCCATTCAACTAAAGTTGAAGTCCGATGTCGTAGTTGTATACACAGTATAGTAAATTTCATGAGTAGGTAGGAGTCGATATATTTTCTAACTTTGAGGTTTCTTCTGTATAAAAAAGAAACTATTTTTAGTCGAACTTCAGTTTTGATAACAAGAATTGATAACAATTTGCGCAAACGCCGAAGCACAACGAATTCAACGCCCTGAACGACTTTTCTTCATTCGTTTTCCAGCAACTGTATATTTTAAGCAACACCGCCAATAATTCGACTAAAATAAAATTAATTGTGATAACTTTTGGCTAATTAGCAGCCTTAGAAAAACGTAAAACCGGTCATTTGATTCTTGGCGCGTTATTCGCTGCGACCTTTGATCTCAGTAAACAATTTCATGGCTGTATAAGTACGACAAAGAAGTGGAAAAATACTTTAGAATTGGCAGTAATTTTAAAACTTCAGGTAAAAACTCATACTGGAGAAAGCAAACAATATCACATTGATATATTTTTTTCTTTCTACGAGATGAAATTAGATGTTACTTAATATTAATAATAATTTTCCTGAATACACTGTTTTTATGTTGGTTTTCTTTTCAGGCCGACCACGACCGAAAGTCACGTGGTACCTCGAAAACACCGTAATCGATGACTCATACGAGATAAGATCTGATGGAATAGCCGTCAATCATCTCACATTTCCAAGTGTTGGTCGCCAACATTTACATGCAAGACTGATTTGCCAGGCCAGTAATAATAATCTGGTGCCACCTGAGACAAGAGTAGCTGTATTAGATATTAATTGTAAGTATCTTCAGTTACACTGTTATAATGATGATGTCGACGATGACGCGCATTCATTTATATTAGTGATCATGTTCATTAGATCTTAATGGAGTGTTGCTACCGTGGTTACATGTACTGATGGACGTTCTGACGGATTTATTTATGCCAACTTTGAGCCCCAATCAAACTGTTTTGCTAAATCTACAAATTGTAGATAATTTATAAATTCGAAACTTGTCAACTCAACTCCAACTCTTTACATCTTTGAATTTGGTAGAGATTATAATTATCTAATTAGAGAGCCCGTGGGATGTTTAACTCAACTAATCAATCAAACTACTTTAAAAATACCACCTACACAATCAACAAGTAATTATGCGATGGGGAGTTTACATGAAGAGTGCATATAATTGGAAATTATATCGAAATTTCATCCTGAAATCGAGAAAACTTTTTTGTATTAGCTTCGTATTCTTATATTTTTCTAAAAAAAATCAGAAAGCGGACGTTGCAAAAAATTGTTATACAATTTCGATTTTTTTTTTTCAAAATATAGATGTCTATTATGTTCCGGTTTAACCTGGCAGAATACAAAACTCGTAAGCAAAACATTTTAGATGGGAGAATTCACGGCGGTGTTGTCAATTATCCAAAAACCTTCCGATTTCTGAAGCAGTGGATACATGAACCTTACACAAATTATCATAAAGTTTTTGTTATTACGCCCCTAGTCGTGTTAAAATTTGATATTTGTTTATTAAAATTTCATTATAAATCGAATTATTTCTAGAATTTTCATAATTTTAAAATTGCGCTTTTTGTTTTTTTCACGTCATATTTCAAAAACTATTCAAAATTTTGTCTTACCAAAACACCGGTGAAGTCAAAATCAGCAAAGAGTCCAAGAAAATCGCATTCCTAAGTGAATCTAGCACTACCTAAAAACTTCCTTCTCTAATGGGTTCTTAGCCTTCATATTCCTCAAATAGAAAACATCATATACGAAAATTCGGACGCATATCCCCGCACTTATGACACCTTTATTAACTTTATAGAAAGTATATATGGAAACAGTAACCCAACGACGAACTCCTTCGTTACCCAAGTGATATACAGGTGGTAATCACCATGATATAAAAAATAGACAGTCAATCAGTCAAAAATCGCTCATTCACCCACGGAAAAAGCTACAATCTTACCTCACAAAAACTTGCACAGACCCAACTGACTTATCGTCAAGTCTTGAAACTGACCTAAACGATGGTATATATTATTCCAAAGTCTTCACATTAATCCAATGGAACTGTTGCGGATTTTCCCGCACCTAAACCACTAAAATAGCTTATCTCTGATTACGAACCTACATGCATCGCATTACAAGAAACCAATTTAAAAGATGTTCAAACCCCAACTTTAACCAACTACAAATGCTACAACAAGAACCGCAACAATGAAAACACACTACTAGCCAGTGGAGGAGTATCAATCTTCATAAAGAATTCACATTACTCTGAACAAATCACACTCAGCACTAGTCTAGAAGCAATTGCTGTCACGGTATGGAAAGCTACCCATTTAACCATCTGTAACATTTATCTCCCACCCATATCATATCAAGTGGACAAAAACTCTCTCTTCCATCTTCTACAACGCTTGTCAAAGCCCTATATACTAGTCGGTGATTTTAATGCATACAACCCCATGCCCGGGGATCAGGTCACAAAAACGATAAAGGTGCAATCATAGAAGACATTTTATCATCTGAACAATCGTACTACTGAATACCGGTGCTCCAATACATTTTAGCCTTCAATACGGTACTTTCAGAGCAATCGTCTTTAGCCTCTCAAAGTGCAATTTCCTACACCTGGGAACCGCTTGATGATCTCTACATCAGTGGTCACTACCCTCTCAAAATTCAGTCCACATCTGAATAAAGCTAATTGGACACAATATCAAGGCCACAACATTGATCTACACAGTGAAAATATCATGGAGCAACATGATAACTAATACTGGATACACATCTATAATTTGTAGACATAACCCCATCATTCAACAAATATAAAAAACATCGAACTCAGCACCCTATACCATCAAAACAAATAACCAAAAATATTGGGAGAAATACATCTCAACTCTTTCAATACAGACTCCACTCTCCCAGAATTGGAACAAGATTCATAAGATGCAAGGTACACAAAAGTATCACCGAATAACTGTATTAAAACAACCAGAAGAAAGGCTTGTAACCGATGAAGTGGAGATCGCAAATATTCTAGGAGAACAATTTCATAGAGTATCCAGCGATATACACAACACAAACAGAAAATTCACATCCTATATCTCTTAACTCTGACAACTAAAATCGTATCAATTCAGCCTTCACACAAGTGATTTGCAAACAGCACTGGCTAATTGTCGAATCTCAGCTGCAGGTTCAGACAATATTCCGTCCATATTTCTTTAACATTTGTCGACAAAAGCTCAGGAGACCCTGCTAACAATCTTTAATCATCATATTACCCAAACTTACACCAGGCAAAACACCAACTAATGCTTCGAGCTATCGCCTTATCTCCCTAACATGTACGCTTTGTAAAATTTTCGAGAAACTAGTTAATATGTACTCGACTTTTATCAAATCTTATCTACACAGCGCCCAGAGTGGTTTCAGATGTAATAGATCAACTCCCAACTCTTTAGTAGTATTACGTAGAGAAGTCTGTCATGCCTTCGCCAACCATCAATATTTAATAGCGATTTTCATCGATAGGAAAAGGCCTTCCATGCTGTCTGGAGGTATCACATTCTCAAACAACTCTCTGAATGGAAAATTCAAGGAAATATCCAAAACTTTCTTGACAACTTTTGCAACACAGAACATTCCAAGTTAAAGTTCATAATACATGCTGTAGACCATTTCCACTGTAGCGGGACAATAACACGTTGATAGGCGGAGAAAGATAAGCGGCTTCGTAGTCTAGTGGTCAAGGCACCCGCCCCGCAAGTGGAAGACGTTGGGTTCGATTCCCACCGGGGCACCAACATTTTGCTTCGCTTACCTTCATTGGTGACCACCGTCAGGCAACACGCACGCACGCACGTACGCAACATCCTTCTGCTACCGGCCTGTGTCCGCTGTGTTCGGGGTCCGCAGTATCGCCAGGGTTCGAACAACGAACCTAAGAGTATGGAATGACATAATCTAATGATAGTTTGTGTAAGATTCATACATCAACTTCTTCAGAAATTGGTGTTTTTTTGCATAATTGACAACACCATCGCGTATTCTCCCATATAAAATAATAATAAAGCTTACGGGTTTTATACGCTGCAAGTCAAACCGGAACGCACAGTAAGAGAAAAACTCCAGACGAATTCATAAACCGCGAGTACTATTTAAAACTTTGGAGATGACTAGAGAGCGGATTTTATGAAATTTGCATATCCGTTATTTTTTGTATATAAGTCTTGATATTTAATATGTGAACGAATCATGCTAATTAAAAATGAATACAGCTACAAAAAAAATTGCATATTTGCATATATTTGCCTTCTGCTGCATATTTCACGTAACCGGTGCATATTTTGCATTTTTATCCATTTTTGTGGTAATTTGAAAAAAAAAAAGATTATCATACTATCGGCATTTATTGTAGTCCCAGTTTAAAGCGGTTTTTATGACAAGATAATTAACATTATCACTTTGTTATTACCCCACGACGGACAATATTAAATAACAAAGTACGGCCTTGCAAAGAAACCGACCACGTTCTTATTTATGGCTAGGGAATGACTTCATTGTCCCCATCGTCAACTTCGACACAATGGACCTATCATAAAAACCACTTTAAACTGGGAAGACTATATCTAGAAAGTCGAAATTTCATTCATCATATAGCAAATATTTTCCTGAGCTTCAAATAACAAGGAAAGGTTTGGATTTTATGGTAGTTTGGACAAACCTCTGGGTGTTAAACCATCCTTCCAGGTAAATTCGCGCTCTAATTCCTTTTGGAAATAAGGCTTGTCCCAGAAAGTTTTGCACATATTTTGTTTTTGAATAAAATAAGAACGTCTCAACAAATCGAATCAAATTTATTTACAGTATACTATAACAGCAGTAAAATTATAAATTTCTTAATTACTTGTTTAAAATTAACGGCTTACGGGAAAATAATCTCACTTTAGATCTAATGCGACGCATTATTTTTTGCAAATTTGCACTAGAAACTTTTTTACTTCCCATCATCCACAATTTTTTGAAGAATTCAAAATTTTTGGCGCATTTTCCTTCTTCTCTTAACTAGAACCCAATATCTTTCAACAAGCCGGATTTCAGGTAAGTTTGAGGGGTTATTTTCATTGTCTGGGTATTGCACTCTAATCTGCGCAATCCAATTCTTCGCTAATTGTGAGTAATGCAAAGTAGCTAGGTCTGGCCAAAAGAAAGTAGAACCAGGGTGAGCTCTTAAAAAAGATAGTAATCGAGCTTGAAGGCATTTTCGGACACAAAAATCAGTGTTGGTGCTGCTTTCAACAAAAAAATCCTGTTTCTCTTGCCACATTGGCAAATTGCTTGCCAAACAAGAACTTTGCGGCCAAATTTTTGCAAAAAAATATATTTTTCTTTGTCTCTGACATCTATCAATTTTGCTATTAAATTTAAAGATTTTTGAGAATGTTCGGACCAAATTTGCAAAATTCGTTGTCTTACACTAACTCTTTTTGACGACATTTTGAGAGCCGACTGATTAAAACAAAAAAACTAATGACAGATGTGTAGACCATGGCCTACTGTAGCATATATATTTTACTTAATTCAAATGTCGATTAAACAACTTCAATAGCAGAATTTAAATATGGTGCATGACTTTCTGGGACAAGCCTTTCGTTCATTCCCAATATTTTTGTTCGTTACTTCAGTGTATTAATGACATGTTTTGTGGTGGTCAAAGGGACGTTATCCTATTATTTTTCATCGTGAGTTTGCATTGAGGCATATAAAGCGATAC